TATCAATATCAACAAGTTCAACAGCATTAGCTTCATTAACAGATGCAATTATTTCACTTTATACATATCCATATGAATGTACAGAACAATTAAGTTCACGATTATTAGGTATACAATCGTTATGGGATGTTTTACAAGCATTTCATTGTAAAGATTTACCAGATATATCAATAATGACAACTAAATTACAAACAGATATGAATACATTGAAAGGTCGTCAATTTTCTAATGGTGGATTTGGTTATTGGACAAATAGGAATGATGCTTATGCTGATCCATTTGTAAGTGTAAATACTGCACATTGTTTGGTTGTTGTTATAAAAAAACAGGTAAGAATCGTTTTCTATATATTTAATTTATTAAAAAGTTGTTGTATTATTTTTTGAAGATATGTAATGTTGACATGTATATGTTAGATAATGTATTGAACTATCTTACAAATATTGAATCCGAAATTGATAAATTACCCTATAGTAAACATTGGTGTGAAACAACTCGATTTAGTTTGATCAGTTATGCATTATATGTGCGTGCGAAACATCTTCAAATTGTAGCTAATGAAGCATTAGAATTATTTGTACGAAGTGGATTGAATAAACTTAGTTTAGAAGCATTAGGCTGGTTGTTAATATCATTATCTACAGAGAAAAATGATAAGACAGATCAATTAATTGAAACAATATATAAACATTTGAAAGGTAAAGTAAATGAAACAAGTGAAACAGCAAATTTTATAACATCCTATGGTGATGATGATCAATCCGTTATGTTACATTCAGATCAACGAACAGATGCTATTCTATTAGAAGCATTATTATATATTGATCCAGACTCAACTCTTTGTACGAAGTTATGTAAAGGTTTACAAGCACATAAAGTTAAAGGTGCATGGAAATCAACACAAGAAAATTGTTTCGTATTAATTGCATTAGAAAAATATTTTCTTATCAAAGAAAAAGATACACCAGATTTTATCGCTAATATTTGGTTAGATAATGATTATTGTGGTCAACATCAATATAAAGGTAAGACGAATAATCATAATAATAAGATATCTATTACTAACATTTTTAATATAATCATCTTATTTCTTAATTTAAAGATCGAACAACAGATACACATACAGTAAATATTCCAATGAAAGTAGTTTTGTCATCATCATCATCCAATGCAGAAATTGATGATCAGAATAAAAATTTAGTCATGCAGAAAGATGGCAGTGGTCGATTATATTATCGTATTGCATTA